GGACGCCCCTCCACTCCCCGCCTCCCGGCGCCGCCTCCCTTTGTTGCCTCGTTTCCATAGCAACCGTCTCGCAGCCCAGAAGCTCGAAGCATCGGATTCCGGGCGGGGCGCCTCGGTCCTGTCTGTGGTGCTGAAGGAGGGGCGGGAGAGGCTCACTAGTAAGCGCCGCCACTTCCAAAAACAGCCTGAGAAACCACTGGGAGGAGTGGGGGCGGGGTGGGGCCAGCCAGGGCAGGCTCTCAGGGGCCGCAGGTGCACTTGCGCCCTGCGGGTCCTCCTCCTCCCCAAGTGTGTCCTTGGAGGAGTGGGTACCTGCGAGTTTCCTTGGCATCAAGTGTCGTGAGCTAATACCCCCACATCTGTGAGCGCCCCAAGCCCGAGACTGCTGCGGGTCTTCCTCGGGCCCGGGTCTCTGACTCCCAGAATTCTGGCCCCAGTTCATTTGGCAAGGTGGCTGCGGAGGCAGAAATCCTGCTAGTTAGTCCTCAGGAACAGCCCCCCTCCCGTTTCTCCTTCCCATTAGGGGCTGGCTTGTTTACCTATTCCTACTTACGGATCCCATCCTGGAACTCCTGAAGATAAATGCACAGGGACACAGGGACCCACAGGCCTCTCTCTGAGCCTTGGGTCTGGAAAACAAACACCCTATATGTCCCTAACCCTGATGCCTGACCCCGGTATGAGCAACTGACTCCAGAAACGCCATCTGCCCTGTCTTCACTGCTGTGCAGAGCACCCGTATTTCATTTCTCTGCCCAGCCCAAGGACTGGGAGCCGAGTGGCCCCAGGCGCCGGGCTTGTTGGTGATCCCTGGCCTACTAGTAGCAGGGCTCCATGCGGTGGGCCCCTCCCTCTTCCTTGCTACTGCCATTTCCATGGTGACAACAGCCCAGAAACATGTGCCGCCCCCTCCGAGCCTGACTGACCAGCCTGACCAGCTCTCCCCCTGGGCACCTCTGAAGGCATGTCAGCCAACGAGAGAGGCAGGTAAGCTGGCCTCCCAGTGCCTTCCTGGACAGGGTCCCTTCATTCATAGCCAAGTTCCTGTTCAGGCTGGACTCATAGGTGCCTGGACTCCCAACCCAAGCATCCATTACCATGCCCCTCCACAGCTCCCCATCTTAGGAGTCCTGCAGACCCTAGCTACCAGCCTGCTTGATCACCCACCACTAATATTTGTAGTGGAAGACAGGGCTAACTGGGCTAGGCCCAGGTTGTCATTGGGAAAGGCCTCAAGGCTGTCTCAAGGGATCGAGCAGGGTGGGGCAAGAGAGCTTAATTGCTGCTGTTGTCCCTGGGCATTGATGGAGGGCTATGGGGTAGTCCTGGGCCTGGCAAGAAGGCACTTGGGCCAACGACAGAACAGTGGCCCTGGCCTGCACATCTGAGGCTGTGGAGCACAAAAGGGCAGTTAACAGGTCAGCATGGGCAGGAACAGAAAGGCACCTCTGGACACACATCAGCCAAGGGAAGAGGGAGGTGAGGGCTTCCACAGTGCCTTCCTGGACATGACCCCTTTATTCACAGGCAGGTTCTGTTCAGCCTGGATTCCCAGGTGGCCTGGCTGCCAACTGAATCATCTCTTACCGTGCCCTCTCATTACTGGTCATTCTTGCAGGGCGTACAGCAGGTCACCCCTCTTCTCTACAGCCCCAGCAAGATAAAAAAAAAAGTATCTTGCAATTGTATTTCCTTGTGTCCACCTTTAGAGCAGGGTCACAGATCTGCTGCAGGAAACCCGTAGCTGGGCCGGGTTAGTTGTGGCAAGCCTTGGGATGAAGGCTCTGAGCTATGACTTGGGCAGGTAGGTACGCAAGCAGATTTCTAGGACCGGTCTTCAAGTCAGTGCCAGTCCCTCGGGTCAGGAGTGCCTGGCCCTCATAGAATGTCCCCTGCCCATTTTCTTCATCAAAAAGGGCTTCAGGATAGAGTAGAGTAATTTCTGGGGCCCACCAGTCACCATTCTTTGTCTTGGGTTTCATTTCCTAGCAGCCGGAGGTAGGCACATAGCCCAAGACGTACTTGCTGTGTTTCTAAATGGACACTGGAGCTGAGGTATTGAGGGAAGTCAAGAATACCAGGATGGAACTGGAAACTGTCTTCTGGGAGGGGCCCTCTCATGGGTTTGTCTTGGCCTGGACCTAGGAATGTCTCAAAGGACAGCCTTTGGGGAAAGTCCCTGTGCCTGAGGATAAGGAAACTATGTCAGAAGGCGCTTCATCTGCACCATGCTCCCTGCAGACTCCCACATGGGAAACGGACTCAGGAGGTCCTTGAAGACAGGACAGGCCCTAGAGCAGTAGGACAAGGCAGAGACCAGGAACAACCTCGAGAAGCAGCTCAATGACCCTACAAAGATGGGGTACATGTCACAGCCCTGTCCCAGACACCTGGCCTGTCACTCTGATAAGCCCCATCACAGGTTCAGTAGAGTCAAGATACCCCCTTATCTATACCCAGAGTGGGCACATAAGTGGTTTCTATTTTAATTCCCCATCTGAGATTTCCACGGATCCCAGGCGCCTGGGTAGGGCAGAAGCAGGAGGCAGAGGCCAAAACCCCCCAGTTTTCAGGGAGGGGCTGGCTGACTGTTCTCTTGGTCAGCTTAGAGGCAGCAGCCTGAGGGATGGCTTGTAGAGCCAGCCCTCCTTCCTCTGGTAGCTGGCCAGACCTGCACCTGTCCCTAGGCCAGCAAGGATAGGCACAGGCGGAGATAAGATTTCTGAGCAGAAATATGAGCAAATACTTGAGAAAAGCACACCTGCTGGGTATCACGGCTCGGTGCAGGAGGCCTGACAGCTGGGGCCCAGCCAAGGGGGTGGCCCAGGACCCGAAGTCTTTGTGCCAAGCCAACCTAGGTAAGCCCTAAAAGTTGTGGGGCCTCAGGTAGGGTCAGCTCCCCCCTTGTGGCATGTGACATAGTTATAACACAACTTCATCTACAGTGGAGGTCCTCACCACGGCCAGTCAGCCCCTTGAAGCCCCTCTGGGAAGAACACCAGGCACTGGGCCAAAGGTCTGCAGAAATAGGTCTCAGAGTGATGCACTCCACCGGCATCCGGCTTGCCCTGTGGCTACTGCCCTCCTTTCTGGGCCTAGCCATGTGCCCCCACAAAGGACATTCCAGGTGTTGGGGGCAGGGCGGCTTCAAGGCCCTAAACAGGAGACGTACGGACTGGGAACAAAAGACACAGAAGGGCTTGCTGGGGTTTTCCTTTTTATGAGTTTTTTTTTCTTTGTTTTTGTTTAATATGAAAATTACTTGAAAAGACAAGGGACCAACCCCGCCAGGCAACTTTGCTGCTGCTGGCCGCACCAATCCTAACATTCCAGGTGTAAGTTACAGAGCTCAAGTTCATCTACAAAAAAGTAATAAAAATAAAATTTAAAATGGCACCTTCAACAGAACACAACAAAACCTTAGAGCCCACCCCGGGTGAGAAGTCCTGTAGCACAGGGCCCAGGGCATTCCTCATCTCTGCTCCAGCCAGAAAGTAAACACAAAGCTAAAAAAGACTCCTCGGTGTCTTGGAATAAGTTAGACCACACTTCTTC